GCATTTGTGGCATTATGTTTACAGCAGAATGGAGGCCAGTATTTCATGCCAAACACACAAACTGCAGAATTAATGCAATTTGACACCACTAACTGCCAGTGTCATGGCTCAATGTTATGGAATCCTGGGAGTTGTAGTTTGCTAAGATATCTGCGCTCTTCCAGAGAGACAGAAGTGAAGTCAGTTGCTTCTTCAGGCCAGCATTTGGTGAAGGTGAAGGAGTGTGTTTTTCCAACGAAGAAAGGAAACAAAATGAATCTACAGGGTATCTCAAAACTGCCATACATAGAGGAAATGGGAAATTCCAGCTGAAATGTACTTTTATTTACAAAATTTTACAAAATGTTTGCCTAAACATCTCTGTATGTTGGTGATCACTTTCTATACACACACCGTCAAAATATTAAAAATATAAAATATTAGTTTATTAAATATTTCCTATTGTTGGAGGCTTTGGGGACACACAGAACTACACTTGCCAAGTTCAGGCTTCACTTACGCTTAGAGCACAAGCTCAAGGCCTGCAAGTTGAATCTGGCCTGCCATGTAATTTATAGTGACCCTTCAGGTGCTGGAGTACAATCCCTATATTCCTCATCATTATGCATCATGGCTAGAGCTGAAGGGAGTTGGGATACAATAACATCTGGAAAGCTGCCATTTGTTCTGTTTTAGTCATGATAGTGGGGTTTGAGTTTAGATATAAGGCTTATGAACATGATGCCTTTAACCTTTCCCCAACTTCAGAGCTACAAATCTCATAGGGTAGGGTCTGGAGAACAAGCCCTATGAGGAGTGCCTTAAAGAGCTGAACCTGTTTAGCCTGCAGAAGAGAAGGATGAGAGGAGCCATGATCACCATGTATAAATATGTGAATGATACCACAAGGAAGATGGAGTAGGCTTGTTTTCTGCTGCTTTGGAGACTAGGACTCGGAGCAATGGTTTCAAATTACAGGAAAGGAGATTCCACTTGAACATTAGGAAGAACTTCCTGACTGAGATCTATTCAAGAGTGGAACTCTCTGCCTTGGAGTGTAGTGGACACTCCTCCTTTGGAGATATTTAAACAGAGGCTGGATGGCTCTCTGTCAGGGTGCTTTCATCGTTCTCTTCCTGCATGGCAGGGGGTTGGACTGCCAGGCAGTCTCTTTGAACGCTATAGTTCTAATGGCCTCATCACACTTGAGCATTTATCCACTTTAATAAAATAAAACTTTATTTATATCCTGCCCCCTCTCCCTAGGGGACTTGGAGCAGCTTACAACAAAAAACATAATACAAAAATAATGATGAACATGAAATACATTAGAAATTAAGACAAATGATAGAATAAAACATGAGAAAATAAATCACAAAACATATTAAATATAATTCAAAATATAAACCATAATTAAAATAGTTACTAATTATATCCAGTAATACAATGAAAGCATCCCAGAGTAAGCTTTACTTGACAAAAGCTATAAAATTCAGTTAAAATTTAATTCAATTTGAGTCCTTTATTGTACAAATTACAATTCACTGTTATCAAAAGCCTGTTTCCAGAGCCACGATTTCAGTTCTTTTCTGAAGCTCATAAGTGTGGGAGCTAGTCTGATCTCCTTCCAAAGCCAGGGGCCACCACTGAGAAGGCCCTTTCTCTTGTTCCCACCAGCCACACTTGTGACAGGGCTGGAACTGTGAGAAGGGCTGCTCCAGCTGATCTCAGGGCCTTGACAGGTTCATAGGGGGAGATGCAGTCATGCAAATAGGCTGGACCCGAATTGTGTCATGCTTTGTTGGTCATAACATGCACTTTGAATAGGGCCCGGAAACAGTAGAGCTGTTGCTTTATTGGTATGCTCCCTGTAATTGGCTCCTGCTAAGAGCCTGGCTGCCAATCTTTGTACTAGTTGCAGTTTCTGAGTGCCACACATAGAGTGGATTGCAGTGATCCATCAGAGATGTAACTAAGGTGTAGATTACTTTAAATCAGTGGTCCACAAGAACTAAAATAGGGTCTATGGCCTCACCATTACTAAACCATGTCAACAAGAGCAACTGGTCTTGTGAAACCCTCTTATAGTGCCGAGGCTTATTAAATATGGTTTTTTGTGGGTGAGCAGATGGCATATGTTCTGCATCAGAAACTAGAACTGATGTGGTCTATCCAATACAATTTTCTGAATCAGCACCCCAAATAATCAAACTGAATCTAAAGTTGACCAAAAACTGATTTGTAACCCTTTTGGTACTAATGTTGAAGAGTGGTCCCTGGTCAAAGTGGTCCCTGGTCAAAAAAGTTTGGGAACCACTGCTTTAAATGCTGTGACGGCCTCCTGCAGAATTCTGAGGTTTGCAGGGGTTTTTTTGGGAGGGGGGACTTCAACCTGCTCAGATATATAAACCCCACTTTCTTAGTTTCCAATAGACTTCACAACTACTGAGGATGCCTGCCTTAGATGCAGGCAAAACATCAGGAGAGAATGCTTCCAGAACATGACCATACAGCCCAGAAAATTCACAGCAACCCAGACAAGAGTTCTTTCTCCCACCTTGGGCATTTCACAGATATATAAACCTCACTTGCCTAGTTTCTAACACACCTCACAACCTCTGAGGATGCCTGCCATAGATGCAGGCAAAACGGTAGGAGAGAATGCTTCTGGAACATGGCCATACAGCCTTTTGGTACTAATGTTGGAGAGTGGTCCCTGGTCAAGTGGTCCCTGGTCAAAAAAGGTTGAGAACCACTGCTTTAAATGCTGTGACAGCCTCTTGCAGAAGTCTGGGTTTTGTAGGGTTTTTTGGGAGGAGGGCTTTAACCTGCTCCAATATATAAACCCCTTTCTTAGTTTCCAACAGACCTCACATCCGCTGAGGATGCCTCTCATAGATGCAGGCAAAACATCAGGAGAGAATGCTTCTGGAACATGGCCATACAGCCCAGAAAACTCACAGCAACCCAGACAAGAGTTGTTTCTCTCACCTTGGGCATTCCACAGATAAATAAACCTCACTTGCCTAGTTTCCAACACACCTCACAACCTCTGAGGATGCCTGACATAGATGCAGGCGAAACGTCAGGAGAGAATGCTTCTGGAACATAGCTATGCAGCCTGGAAAACTCACAGCAATGCAGACAAGAGTTTTTTTCTCACGTTCCACAGATATATAAATCTCACTTGCTTAGTTTCCAACATACAACTTCTGAGGATGCCTGCCATATATGTGAGCGAAATGTCAGGAGAGAATACTTCTAGAACATGTTCCATACAGACTGGAAAACTCACAGCAACCCAGACAAGAGTTCTTTCTTCCACCCTGGGCATTCCACAGATATATAAACCCCACTTTCTTAGTTTCCAACAGACCTCACAACCTCTGACGAAATCCACCATAGATGCAGGCAGGCAAAACATCAGGAGAGAATGCTTCTGGAACATAGGCATACAGCCTGGAAAACTCACATCCACCCAGACAAGAGTTTTTTCTCACCTTCCACAGATATATAAACCTCACTTGCTTAGTTTCCAACGCACAACTTCTGAGGATGCCTGCCACAGATGTGGGCAAAACGTCACAAGAGAATGCTTCTGGAATATGGCCATACAGCCTGGAAAACTCTCAGCAATCCAGAAAAGAGTTTTTTCTCACGTTCCACAGATATATAAAGCTAATTTGCCTAGTTTCCAACAGACCTCACAACCAGTGAGGATGCTGCCATAGATGTGGGTGAAACGTCAGGAGAGAATGCTTCTGGAACATAGCCATACAGCCCGGACAACTCACAGCTTCTGGAACATGTTCCATACAGCCCGGAAAACTCACAGCAACCCAGACAAGAGGTTTTTTTCTCACACCCTGGACATTCACAGATATATAAACCTCACTTGCCTAGTTTCCAACACACCTCACAACCAGTGAGGATGCCTGCCATAGATGTGGGCAAAACATCAGGAGAGAATGCTTCTGGAACATGTTCCATACAGCCAGGAAAACTCACAGCAATCCAGACAAGAGTTCTTTCTCACATCCTTGACATTCCACAGATATATAAACCTCACTTGCCTAGTTTCAAACACACCTCACAACCTCTGAGGATGCCTGACATAGATGCAGGCGAAATGTCAAGAGAGAATGTGTTCATGGCTTTCATGGACATACAGCCTGGAAAACTCACAGCAACCCAGACAAGAGTTCTTTCTCCCACCCTGGGCATTCCACAGATATATAAAGCTCACTTACCTAGTTTCAAACAGATCTCACAATCTCTGAGGTTGCCATAGATGTGGGCGAAATGTTAGGAGAGAATGCTTCTGGAACATAGCCACACAGCCCGGACAACTCACAGCTTCTGGAACATGTTCCATACAGCCCGGAAAACTCACAGCAACCCAGACAAGAGTTTTTTCTCACACCCTGGACATTCACAGATATATAAACCTCACTTGCCTAGTTTCCAACACACCTCACAACCAGTGAGGATGCTGCCATAGATGTGGACGAAACATCAGGAGAGAATGCTACTGGAACATGGCCATACAGCCTGGAAAACTCACAGCAGTCCAGAAAAGAGTTCTTTCTCACATCCTTGACATTCCACAGATATATAAACCTCAGTTGCCTAGTTTCAAACACACCTCACAACCTCTGAGGATGCCTGACATAGATGCAGGCGAAATGTCAAGAGAGAATGTGTTCAAGGCTTTCATGGCTGGAATCACTGGGTTGCTGTGACTTTTCCGGGCTGTATGGAACACGTTCCAGAAGCATTCACTCCTGACAACACATTCTCTCTTGACGTTTCGCCTGCATCTATGGCAAGCATCCTCAGGGGTTGCGAGGTCTGCATTCTAGGTGGCCCTCTGTACTATCCATGGACTCGGCGGCCTTAATTAAGGCTAGGCTGCAAAGGGAGCTTGGGTCAAGCAAGCGCGAAAGGGGCGCTCAACCTTGGCGCCAAAAGGTGAGGAGGGGGGGGGAGAGGGAGGCCGGGTCCTTCCTCGGCTGAGTTACCTTCGGGGTTGGTGCTGACGAAGACCCGCACGCTCCTCCCGCTGGGCGCCAAGTGCGAAGGCAGCGCCGAGAGGTTCCCGGAGAAAGCCGCCCTCCGCAACGCCGAGTCCCGCGGGGAGGGCAGCTTGCCCGCGCCCCCCGTCGGCCACATCGCCGCCGAGGAAGGAGAAGAAGCCGCCAGAGCCGCCAGGCCGCCTCCCTCCGCCGGGCTGGAGGTCAAGGGGACGCTGCTTTCAGGCGGAGGCGGGAGAAGGCATGCCTGGGCTTTGCCTCAGGGAGGCATGGCAGCCCCTCCTCAGCCTCAGCCCGCTCCAAACGCGCCTCTACTTCATCTGGGTTGGCCGGCAAACCCAATCACAACGAGGGGGAAACTCCGAACCGCAGAGAACTACTTCTCCTCCTCCTCCTTCTCGGCGAAGTTGTGCTTTGAGCCCCCCGAAACAAGATATTTTATAGCTTCCCAACAGCCCCCTCCTCCCTTTGCATCTCTCCTTGTCTCTCCTTCACAGTCGGTTCGGACAATAAAAGAGGAAACGGCGAAGGCGGGCTTTGTTTGGCGGGGCGATGAAATATTCAGGAAGGTTGTCCTTGTTCCTCGCCTCCGCCGGGGAGAAGAAGGGCTGCCCCCCAGCCGCAGAGCATCCCCAGCCCCGAAACGAGCGGAGAGGAGAGGAGAGGAGAGAGGGCGATGCAGATGCCTCAGCAGCAGGCAGGCGGCAGATCTTGCCGCGCTCTTGAAGGGATGGGATGTTCCCCACAGAGAGGGAGAGAGAGACAGACACGCGCGCGCGCCAGCTCTGGCCAGCCCAGCAAAGCAGCGCTCCCAAGGATCTCTCTGCACTCGCTCTCTCAAAGTTTGAGCTGAATAGCTCGACAGCTCAGCTCCCTTCCTACACACACACACTGTCCCCATCTACGCCGACAACGTGATGTGGCGGCAAAAAAAAAAAAAAAAGCCAATGGGATGTTCTCCTGCATCAATGGGAGTCTAGTGTCTAGATCCAGAGAAGTCATGCTACCCCTCTATTCTGCCTTGGTTACACCACACTTGGAATACTGTGTCCAATTCTGGGCTCCACAGTTGAATTCTGGGCACCACAATTGAAGGGAGATGTTGACAAGCTAGAAATTAGAATGTGTCCAGAGGAGGGTGACTAAAATCAAGGGTCTGGAGAACAAGCCCTATGCTTAAAGAGCTGGGCATGTTCAGCCTGAAGAAGAGAAGGCTGAGAGGAGACATGATAGCCATGTTCAAATATGGGAGAGGAAGTCATAGGGAGGAAGGAGCAAACTTGTTTTCTGCTGCCCTGGAGACTAGGACGTGGAACAATGGGTTCAAACTACAAGAAAGGAGATTCCATCTGAACATTAGGAAGAACTTCCTGACTGTGAGGGCCAGGCATGTAGCGTGGGGGGGGGTGTGTGGCTTCAGCCCCCCCCCCCCAAATTCTCATGGTGGTCTGCAAAAAGGCCTTACTGGTACATTATTTAAACTGTTATGTTTATTGATATCATGATCTGATCACCATGCTCAATATATCCCATATGCAGGGTGGGGGGGGGGGGGCTGGAGGGGCTTCAGCCCCCCCCCCCCCCCGAAATTCTCATGGTGGTTCGCGAAAAGGCCTTACTGGTGCATTATTTAAACTGTTATGTTTATTCATATCATGATCTGATCACCATACTCAATATATCCCATATGCATGGGGGTATTGGGGTAATGATACAAAAGGTTTGCTAGGTAGACCCTCTTTCACTCAGACTCAGCCCTCCCAAATCAAAATCCTGGCTAAGGGCCTGGTGTACACACTCTTCACCCCCCGAACGAAATCCTGGCTACACGCCCTATACATTGGCCTCCCTCTGCCGGTGATTAGGAAGCTCAAGTTGGTACAAAACGCAGCTGCTCGGCTTCTTGCGGGAATTCCGATGAGATGCCACATAACACCAATCTTACTACAGCTGCATTGGTTACCAATTGAGCACCGGATCACTTTCAAAGTGATGGTACTCACCTTTAAGGCCTTGCATGGTCTGGGGCCGATGTATCTGAGGGACCGCCTCACCCCCTACCAACCCCAGAGATCCCTCCATTCTGAGGACCAAGATCTATTGGAAGTCCCCAGTGTCAAGACCTTGCGTCTAACAGCAACCAGATGCAGAGCCTTCACAGCAGTGGCACCATCACTCTGGAATACTCTGCCACCTGAAGTCCGTGCCTTGCGGGACTTACCAGCTTTCTGCAGGGCATGTAAGACATACCTGTTTCGACAGGCTTTTAATGTTTGATATTGCTGTTTTTAAATTGTTTTAAATTGCTTTTAAATTTTGTTAGATTTTAGCCATTCTTGTAAGCCACTCTGAGCCCCAGGGGAGTGGCGGCATATAAGTTCAAATAATAAATAAATAAAATATATCCCATATGCATGGGGCTATTGGGATAACAATACAAAAGGTTTGCTAGGGTAACTCCTCAGTCCCCCAAAATCAAACTCAGCCCCCACAAATCAAACTCAGCACCCCCCCTGAATCAAAATCTTGGCTACGGACCTGGTGAGAGCTGTTCAGCAGTGGAACTCTCTGCCCCGGAGTGTGGTGGAGGCTCCTTCTTTGGAAGCTTTTAAACAGAGCCTTGCTGGCCACCTGTCGGGGGTGCTTTGAATGCAGTTTTCCTGCTTCTTGGCAGGGCAACCCCCTGCCAAGAAGCAACCGAATGGTTGGCCCATGAGGTCTCTTCCAACTCTATGATTCTATGATGATGGCTTTAAGCTGGGGTGGCTAGACCACCATAACAGCGAGTGGAAGAAAGCCCTTCCTGCTCTGTAGTGTGTGTCATCATCACATCAAACTGGATTGCCTGTGTCACATGCAAGCCAGTAGCCAAGGGGGCAGATTAGGGGATCAAACCACCCTGAAATGTTTCAGATAAAAAAAAGTGATTTCCTCATGGATTTCCAAAAATCAGAGTCCCTCAAGAACTACAAGCACTATCTTGATGGATTCATTTCAATTGGTGAAACCCGAGGATGTGGACAAGGTGCTTGGAGGAATGAGGGCAACCATATGCATCCTAGACCCCTGCCCATCCTGGCTTCTAAAGGAGGCCAGAGGGGGATTGGCTGAGTGGGTAAAGGTGGTGGTTAATGCCTCCCTTCGGGAAGGCATAATTCCAGCGAGCTTAAAACAAGCTGTAATAAAACTGCTGTTGAAAAAACCATCACTGGACCCCACTCAATTCGTCAACTATCGGCCTGTTTCCAATCTCCCCTTTTTGGGCAAAGTCCTGGAACGTGTGGTGGCCTCACAACTCCAGGCATTCTTGGTAGACATGGATTATCTGGATCCGGCACAGTCTGGCTTTAGGCCGGGACATGGTACCGAGACAGCCTTGGTCGCCTTAGTGGATGATCTGCGCCGGGAGCTCGACAGGGGGAGTGTGTCCCTGTTGGTGCTGCTGGACCTCTCAGCGGCCTTCGATACCGTCGACTACGGTATCCTTCTGGGACGTCTCACGGGGATGGGTCTTGGAGGTACTGTTTTGCAGTGGCTCCGGTCATTCCTGGAGGGCTGGTCTCAGAAGGTGTTACTGGGAGACACCTGTTCAACCCCACAACCTTTGTCTTGTGGGGTTCCTCAGGGCTCAATATTTTCTCCCATGTTGTTTAACATCTATATGAAGCCGCTGGGGGAGATCATCCGGAGTTTCAGGGTACGGTGCCATCTGTACGCAGATGACGTCCAACTCTGTCACTCCTTTCCACCTGCTACTAAGGAGGCTGTCCAGGTCCTGAACCGGTGCTTGGCCGCTGTGATGGTCTGGATGAGGGCGAACAAATTGAAACTGAATCCAGACAAGACAGAGGTACTCCTGGTCAGTCAAAAGGCCGAACAGGGCATAGGGTTACAGCCTGTGTTGGATGGGGTCGCACTTCCCCTGAAGATGCAGGTTCGCAGCTTGGGTGTGATCCTGGACTCATTGCTGAGCCTGGAACCCCAGGTTTCGGCGGTGACCAGGGGAGCATTCGCACAGTTAAAGCTTGTGCGCCAGCTGCGCCCGTACCTTGGGAAGTCTGACTTGGCCATGGTAGTCCACGCTCTGGTTACATCCCGTCTAGACTACTGCAACGTTCTCTACATGGGGTTGCCTTTGAAGACAGCTCGGAAGCTCCAACTAGTCCAACGCTCGGCAGCCATGATACTAACAGGAGCGGAGCGCAGGGAGCATACAACCCCTCTGCTGCACCAGCTCCACTGGCTGCCGATTTGCTACCGGGCTCTATTCAAAGTGCTGGCATTGGCCTATAAAGCCCTAAACGGTTTGGGCCCAAGCTACCTATCCAAACGTATCTCTGCCTATGAACCCACCAGGACTCTAAGATCTTCTGGGGAGGCCCTGCTCTCGATTCCGCCTGCATCACAAGCACGGCTAGCGGGGACGAGGGACAGGGCCTTCTCTGTGGTGGCCCCCCAGCTGTGGAACACCCTTCCCATGGACATTAGATCAGCTCCTACGTTAATGGTGTTTCGGAGGAAACTAAAAACCTGGCTGTTTGAACAGGCATTCGGATAAACAGTGCAATGAATATGATGAATATAGGAATGGAATTATGGACGATGAATTGGATCACGATTCTAGTTACGAGATGTTAATGTGTTGTTATTGATGTGTCATTACTTTGTATACTATGCTGTTAATGGTTTTTAAATTGTATGCTGTTATGATTGTCTTTTTGCTCTTGTTGTGAACCGCATTGAGTCACCTACGGGCTGAGAAACTGCGGTATACAAGCAAAGTAAGTAAATAAATAAATATCTCGACCACATTTTGATTATTCACACTAGCATTACCTCCCTTTCTACAAATTTACATTGTAACAGAAGCAATACACTATGGTCATGGTATCCTTGAAGTGACTGGCTTGACTGAAGGAACTGGGGGTGGTGATGGCCAACAGGGAGCTCTGGCGTGGGCTGGCCCATGAGGTCACAAAGAATTGGAAGCGACTGAATGAATAAACAACAACAGCAGTACCTCCCTTTCTACCAATGTACATTGCTATAGAAGCAATTACTGACACAGTGGAAATGACTATAGTGGAAGCTGCCCAAATATGGTGTTTTTTTTCATGTCAGAAGTGACTTGAGAAACTGCCAGTCACTTCTGGTGTGAGAGAATTGGCTGTCTGCAAGGACGTTGCCCATTGGACGTCCGGATGTTTTTGATGTTTTACCCAAATGTGGTAGCCAATAGGCAAAGCCTAAGGTACAGGATAGAGGGAGGTGGGATTTGGCATAGAGTGCGGGGTGGGGTTGGTGCCAGGAGAAACTTGAGAAACTGCAAGTTGCTTCTGGTGTAAGAGAATTGGCCATCTGCAAGGACACCCGGATGTTTGATATTTTACTATCCTTGTGGGAGGCTTCTCTCATATCCTTGCATGGGGAGCTGGAGCTGACAGAGGGAGCTCAACCCTCTCTCCCCAAATTCGAACCACTGATCTATCGGTCAGCAGTCTTGCCAGCACAAGGATTTAACCCATTTTTCCACTGGAGGCTCCTGGATTGTAGGTGAAAACTGAGGAAACTATGCAAACTGAGGTGTCTACCACTGGTTCATATCTAAGCCATGCCAAGGAAACAATGGAAAAGGATCAAAGACCTTTACATGAACAAGACTGTTTCTGATGACCAAGTGAAAGCTCAATTTGTGCAAAATCCACAAACCCCATTGCCAGGATATGTATTTCTTGTGGATAAGAAGACACACCGAAATTTTCAACCCAGATTTCCCAGGCTGGCCTACTCATTTCAGCAGATTTCCCAGGTTGGCCTACTCATTTCGGTAGATTTCCCTGGCTGGCCTAATCATTTCAACAGATTT